GATAGATAGATAGATAGATAGATAGATAGATAGATAGATAGATAGATTTAACTTCACAGTGGGAAAAAAAAGGTATGAACTGAACTGATTTAAAGACATAATATATATAACATGCTAAAAACAAAAAAAAATACAACTCTTTAAGGGTGTTTTACTGCATTCATAATGTAGAAACTATAGGTTGTGCTGGTTAACTCAATGGAACACATTTTTATAAAAGAATAAATTCAATGAATGAATATTGAAGAATGAATATGAGGTTGTAAACATCTTGCCCCATAATCAAAGAACACACCTCAACTTCTCTTGTAAACTAAGTTCTTAAACTCTACTGAATCTTTTAATCTTCTGACATAGTGATTAGGAATTCAGCATAATGGGGAAATCAGGGACATTGCTATAAAGATGATGTCAAATCTAGCTTTAATGATAATCAAAAGTGTAAAATTGGCCTTATCGCTATTACTTCCTAAACTGTAGTTCCCAAGTGTACTTGAAAACTTAAATGAGTTAACAGAGAGATAAGGTTTGAGACTTTTTAAAAGATTAATGGTGAAAAACTATGGTTGTTATTGCTGGTATAGTAGTAATTACTACTAATGGTTTGTTTGTTGTTTTTTTTTTTTTCTTTTCTGATTTTATTCATAGAAAGGGATGAAGGAAACATTGGTTTTCAGATTTAAAGGCTCAGACTAATCACAACATTTATATTTCATGCCTCAAAAATTTTTGATGTAGGAGAAATAAATGCCATTCCAAATATATTACTCACCAATGAGATCATTAATATTATTTTAAAGTGAATGAAGAATTACAAAAGGTCCACACAGACAGATGGTTGATTAGCCTTAATTACCGTATTAGTTACTTCTGTAAGGCTGAGTCCAAATGTCTGACAAACCTTCTGTAAAGTAGGTAGCTTTGACAGGACTTTGTCAAGGGAAGCATGCCACTTAGGCATGGCGGAAAGCAGAAGGGGGGGGGGCTCTCATCACACCTGTGGCAGCAGACAACCTTATGGCTGTTTTCGGGAAGAAAGAGGAGATAGGAAGTGGAGCCAGCCTCTACATTGCCAATCACACACCCAGTTCCCTCAGGAGGGCTCTATCTCCTAAGATTCCATAGCCTTCCGGAGAGGGATTGATTACATGAGCCTCTGGGGTCACATCATACTCAAACCGCAATACAGATAAACAAGCAGTATTTATTTCATAATGAGGAAGGAGAGCTGTCCTCACCTGAGAAGAGTAGGAATGTCCGTCTGAACCACAAACGGGGCTGGAATAGGCCACAGGGCACTGCTTACAGGTGGGTGACAGGAGACCTCTCCACTGCTTATGGCTTCCTCCTCCTTCCTTCATACTGTTAGCAAAAAACAAATACAAAAACAAAACAAAATAAAAACGAAAACAGCCACACTTAGTGCATTTGATCTTCAAAATTACATTTATATGAAACTGCCTTTTCACGCCTGTCATAACGATGCTTGACACTGATTTATGGTCTCATCCACACTGCACACTCTCTTCCAACACTGCTCTTTATGATCTATTGTTCTTACAGACCTCCAAGAGTTCTTCAAATAAAGCAAGATTGTACTTCTTGTAAGTTTTGTGTAAGTCACAGAGACTGTGCCTATATTTTCTTATGGGGATTCTTTAATTTATAAGCATGAAATAGTTGTTTTTTATATCCCATAATCAAAACTTCCTAAAAGTACAGAAGTCAGATTTCTAGTACCATCTTCAAGCTCACCCTTGTATTCTCTTAGGAGTGGAGAAAAAGAGACAGCTTAGTTAATGACTCCCTATAAAGGAGATAGCGTACTTTTAGAATAAACAGCTGTAAATTACTAGAGAGTTTACAGCATCTAGCAGTGTTTAAGGAGCCAAATTACTAGGTTTATTGACAACACCTCTCCCATTTGATTGCTGTGATGTGTCTTAAAATGAACTCATTAGGCTTTGATCTAAGCAACTTGGGAAAATCCATTCTCTCTTTCTCTCTCAAATCACCACACAGATTTTTTTTCCTCTTGCTGTGTATGCCACTCATTTCGCCTGCCTATTTGTGGGAACAGTTTACACAGAAAGAGAGAAAGACTGAGAAGTAAGAAAGAAAGTGATTGGGAATCTATACAAAGACACTTAGAAATTGGCGTACGTCAATACTTGTTGGTTATAATTTTCTGAGAATAGTGCAATTGCAGAGAATAGTGCAATGTCTTCATGACAAGGAGAGAAATGCTGAGAAGAATTATGCATTTATTTTCATAATTTTATACTTTTTTGCCCGAAAGTTCTATTCTAGGAAACACAAACTTGAAAAGTATAGTACCAAGGCAATAATAAAATACAAAACAAAGCAAAAAAACCATAAATAGTTCCATCATTGGAGAAGAAATTGAAGTTTTCTATTTGAAGTTTAGGTATTAAAAGCTATCTATCTATCTATCTATCTATCTATCTATCTATCTATCTATCTA